ATGCAAGGGAATCCTGTAAAAGAAGAAGCACAGAATGCCAATGCTAGAGCAAACCATCCTTTTGTGGGATTTCCTCCTTTAGAAGAAGCATCCACCTTTGCTGCAGAAGACTCTGGCTGGTGCTTTTATGAGTATTTCCCTTGGGTTTCATGGAGGAATTTTCTCTCACTTGCTAATGGATGATTTTGCACCTCTCTCTGTGTTGTCTTTGCAGCTTTCCAGGCTGGTTAAATAGCGGCAGTTAAACATGCAAGCAAGCAGGCCTGCAGGACTGACAGATAAAATGCCAAAGCCCCAAAATCTTCCCAAAATTTCATAGCATTGAACCATGGCAGTTAAGGTGGTGTCAACCTGGATTATTCCTGCAGTGCAGATGCAGCCTAAATCAGGACTAGCAATAGGATTATTTAAGACTATGAAAACAGAGGAAGAATTTTGCAAAGGAACAAAAACCCAGTTCCGAAAGCGATGTCTGCAGCCTGGTCAAGAAAAGCAAGGATGTTCCATCCCAGAAAGTGACATTTTGTTTTCGGTTGCGCCTTTGATTCCCAAAGTGGTGTGTCTAAGTGGATATTATGCAAGGCGGTGATAATCGGTGTTAAGTCATTAACCGAGCTGTTTAATTTGATGTTGCTCCATAAACGAACTGGCGTTTATTTGCATGCATATTTTGGTGAGGGGGAGATATTATTTTTTTTAAAAGAAAAGAAAAGAAAAATGACAATTCTTTGCAACGGCATAATGATGTTCTGATGACACTAAAATGGGGGCAAAATGCAGCTGTCATTCAAAGCTTAACTGCTTGCTCATTTAAAATATAAAATTTTTATAACCCAGTAAAGGAAGAACAACAAAATGCACACAATCTTCATATTCACATTTATCTGTTCCAAAAGAGAGTCCCAAGAATGTTATGTCTGGACTATAACTCCCAGAATCCTGCTGGCTTGGCTGCCTGGGGATTCTGGGAAGTGTCCTTCCAAAAAAACAATTTTCCCAAACTCTTTCAAGAAGTAATGGCAAGGTAGATTTTCTTACCATAGAAAATAACCATGAATTCCATTGGGATTCCCAACTAGAGTTGGACCTTTGAATTGATGGCTGAATGATGGGAAGTTGACCCTTGTAGAAATCCCATTGATTTAATAGGTCTACTTTAGTTGGGAGTACAAGTATAATTCAGAGCTAGCATGGCGGTTTGAGCATTGGACTATGACTCTGGAGATCAGGGTTCGATTCCCCACTTGGCCACAGAAACCCACTACTTGACCTTGGGTGAGTCACACACTCTCAGCCCCAGAAACCTCTGTGATAGGTCCATCTTTTGGGTGCCTTCATGTCGTTTCCAATTTATGGCGACCCTAAGGTGTTTTCTTGGCAAGATTTGTTCAGAGGAGGTTTGCCATTGCCTTCCCTGAGGCTGAGAGAGTGTGACTTGCCCAAGGTCACCCAGTGGGTTTCATGGCTGAGCTGGGAATCGAACCCTGGTCTCCAGAGTCGTTGTCCAACACTCAAACCACTACACCACACTGTCTCATAGGATCACCATAATTCAGAAACAACTTAAAGGTACACAACAACAACAAATAAGTCCAATTCAGGTCACAAATTGCTACACAGCCGTAGGCCTTACCTAGGATCTTGAAAAAGTTATTTTTTCCAAGATAGGTCTAAGAGACTAATTTGGGGTAACACTATTTTGATGGGCCACCAAAAGAATTGCCAACAAAACCTAGGAGAAAAAAACGTGGCTGCATCCGCACTGCAGAAATAATACAGTTTGACATCACCTTGGCTACCAATATTTTTTAAACATTTTTTAAATTATTAAAACATATAACCTATATACACATCAACATTTACAATCTTCAAACATAAAAAATTAACATAAAAAAACGTACATAACATACATAAAATAACTTCCCTTCCTTTACTATGAATATTATTGTGATATCTCTTTCACTCTGACTTTCTGATTTCCTCTTAGTTTTTCTTATAGTTTGTGACATATACCTGTATTACATTCTTACTATTTAATTCAATTTCAGTCGTCATTTATATCATTTCTCTTCAAGTCCCACACTATACATATAAGTTCTGAACATTTCTTCATCTCTTAGTCTAAGACTACCATGGCTCAATATTATGGAATTCTAGGATTTGTAGTTTTTTGAGATATTTCGCCTTCTCCATCAGAGAGCTCTGGTGCCATGCCATACTACAAAACCCAGAATTCCATAGCATGGAGCCATGGCCGTTAAAGTATATTATCAAACTACGTTACTGAATAATTGCCTGGTCTGGAGAGAATAGGATGCGATGCCTTTCATGGCATGATGTGCGGCATGTTTGTTTCCTTGCTTGCTAATCGTTGCATGCAAAACATCTGTTTGCATGCTACTCTGTGCATTTTAAAGTAGACCTACCTCACCTATTAAAGTAGACCTATCTATTAAGTAGACCTACTTCACAACATGCAATCGTCCCGCATGCACAACTCTGCTTTCGTCTCCATTAGCTGGATAGGACACAGTTACTCTGGTGTAGCGTACCAACATTATTTCATGCAATGACATTTGGAAGCATGGAGGCGAAGCATGGGGCTTGCTATTTTTGCAATCTGGCACTATGCCTTTAGCATTAGATGCTTTGGAAGTGTGTGTGTGTGTGTTTCACTGCCCAGGCATACAATTGCTGTAGGAATTTGTTTGCTGCTTGCTCCCATTTTTGCAAAAAGACAATTGACCCACGGTGGCCAGGAGGTGTTCCGAACAACTTTGCTTTTCAGAGGACGCATAAAGGGAGATGTGGCTTTCTCAGTCGGTTGGATGCACAAGAGAACCTGGAACAACTGGGCTGCAAGCAATCACCATTTTGTTCCCTTGGTAGCATCCTCAGGTCATGCAAAGGAGGAGGCAGGCAGGCACACAAGCCACAAAAAAGCGTGTGCCGTGTGCCGTAGAGGCCAAAACAGAGCCCTGGCTGCGATAGGAATCTTGCAATTGTGCAATCCAAGCAAGGGAAGGAGGATTTATAGCTCCCCATGACATGCTTAATCTGCCCTATCCTGAGGGCTCAGCAGCAGGAAATGATCCTTAAAAATGACAAAATAATATGACCGAGGGAAATGTGAAATACGGAATGGCGCGTCGAACCAAATGGAAGAAGCCACAGGTATACTGAATTTCTCCCAGCTTCCAATACAAGGGTAAACATAAAGAAATACCGCCTGGGATCCTGTTACGCTTGCAGACCCTCAAACTATTCTCATTTGGGAAGAATAGTCCTGTCCTTCTTTTTTCATCTGCTTTTAATAGGTCCCAGTTTCTCTCTGCATCCGCACTGCCAAAATAATGCAACTTGACACTGCCATGGCTCAATGCTACGGAATCCTGGGATTTGTAATTTGTTGGGAAACCAGAGTTCTCTGATAGAAAAGGCTAAACGTCTCACAAACTACAACTCGACAAACTCCATTGCATTGGGCCATGACAGTTAAAGTGGTCTCAAACTGCATTATTTCTGTAATGTGGGTGAGACTTCAGGGACAATTGAAGCGTCACTTCTCAGGACTATTTTAGTTATGAAGCTCTTGTAGAAGCAAAAAGTTGGAACAGAACCAACTCTATGTTTCTAGGGGCCAGTCAACACATAAGTGTATTATGCAAATTGCTGCGGACTTTTGCACATTTGCATCGACACTTAATTGTCCTCACTTTCCTGTGCAAATTTGCATATATTTGCCTTCCCTTTGCTAAAATTGCACAGCCACGCGAATCCATGCAACGCAGACAGATAATGCACATCCTCATGGATATTCACAGATGCACCAAATCCTTTTTCAGTGGAGTTTATGGCACTTTTTAAATTATTCTAAGAAAACAAACAAATAACAAACAATTCTTTGTCCATTCACAACCAACATGTTTTCCTATTCGTTTCAACTTTCCACAATATCTTTTTTTCCAGTTCTTATTTCAACAATATTTCTTCTTTCCCTTCCTTATTCTCAAAAATAATTGAATAGCTCATAATCTCTTATGCTCTCTTGTCTAGTATTATCTAATGGTTAATATCTTATACTCATAAACCAACTTAAATCATATTTCATATTACGTCTGTTACTAATTACTCCTTTTGTTCCTTTTCCATAATCTGGATACTTTCCCCCATTTCTCCTCATATTGTTGAACTGTCCTTTTGTTAATATACATTGATAGATTATCTAATGCAGCTAAATCATATAATTTTATTATCCGTTCATTCATTGAAGGTAATATTTCTCATTTCCAGTACCTTGCATATACTCTACGGGTGGCAGTTATCATATAGAGCAATAAACTTATTTCCTCCTGTTTCATATTCACTTCGATTATATCGCGTTTATGGCATTTTTGCCCCTCACAAAAAGCCTGAATTCCTCCAAATCATGTGTGGTCAGATTGCAATCTATTGAATTGGAACGAGGGGTATTTTAGCAATGTAGACAAGCCCTATTGTCCTTGAAGGTGTTCATGCTTACCCCTGCAAAAATGGCTTTATATATTTTGGTTCCGTCCCCAAAAAACTTGCATCCAGGAGACAAAAGAAACTCTGCAGGTTATTATAACCCCAATAGAAAGAGATGCTTCTTTCAAACCCCTTTTAGCTCTAAAATGCAATTATCAGTCTCCAGGCAGAGAGGGAAAAAGAAAACAGATTTGAGTCTACAAAATTGGGAAACTCGGCACAATTAAACCCACAGCTGTTGGGGGGTCTCTAAGTGCTACTTGATGCGCAGTTGCATATTCAGAGAGCTCCAGAGAGTCATTTTTGCAGGCAGCTATGCCTATGGATGTCTTTTTAATGGAAGCAATTTGGCTCCCTTTCTTTGGCCTTCATTTGCTCCTAGGCATATTTAGTGTGTACACTTACATTTATAATTTTATTTTAAAAGAGATGGGTTGGGGGAACCCTAATGAGTGGAAAGACATGACAAATGCAAAGCGATCGCCCCAAAGGCTGCATCTACACTGCAGAATGAATGCAGTTTCTCATTGCTTTAACTGCCATGGCTCAATGCTACGGGATCCTGGGATTTGGAGTTTAGTGAGATATCGAGCCTTCTCTGTCAGAGAGCCTTGATGCCTCAACAAACTACAGATCCCAGGATTGCATAGGATGGAGCCATGATAGTTAAAGTGGTGTCAGACTGGATTATTTCTGCAGCCCTAAGCCTCATTCCCACTTACAAATAAATCAGTTTGCAATCCAAATCGATGGATCGGTTCGACAACGGAGCGTGGTTCACACTACATTTGCCCTGATCGCATTTTCTTGTTGTAAAATAACCTATTTGTCGTTCAAGTTGATGAACGAACCTATTCAAAATGGACCCTCTTCAGTGGGTCGCTGATCGCTGATCCCCTCATAGGAAACCAATTCCGATCCGCATCTCATTCACACTTGCGGTGAATCGATTTATTGCAAAAGACATGGGGAAAATGAGCGTAAAAAAAGACATGCATTAAATGGGTCTAGCGCTGAGCCCCCCTCACCAAACCGCTTCAGCAATTCAGCTCAGGTGTGAACAAGGGTCATTTAAACCACTTCAAATTGGTTAGCAAACCGGTTTATAACATAGTGGGAATGAGGCCCTAGACACTTGTGCTTTTCCCTAGACCTTTCTGTTTGCCATCTTCTTCCTTCTTGCAGCCTTCCTTGCCTGCTTTCCTCCCCAGGGCCTCAGCAAATTAATCATTTCAGCTCAACTCTGCAGTCTCTAAAACTTTAATGGGGTTATCCCTACAAACGGGGCTTCTGGCATCGGTTCACTCTAAATGGGAATTAGCTTGCATTAAAACTAAGCTCTGCCTTGATTATTAAACTGCGTGGCAATAGTTTCAATTAGCAGCCTTCTTCCAAGGGCAAGTCACTACTTCTCCGACGCCTTCCTTCATCTGACATTTCTTTGGGCAAGAGTCCGCATTATGGCAATGGGGGACAAGGAGACACGTCTCCCTTTGCCAATTCAGAGGGCAGAGGTTGCCTATCCCTCTCCTGGAAGAGCAGCGACCGGACATCCCAGGCTCTTTGCAACTGACCCCATTAAAAATAATTGCAAACCTCACAGGGCTCCTGAGCCAAAATAACCTTGAGTAGATAGATGCTTTGGTCCCTGGAAGCCAAGATGATCAAGTTGAGGTTGTTGTGATTTGGCCACATCATAAGAAAGCATGAGCCATTGGAAAAAACGGCGGAGGGATGTAAAAAGAGAGGAAGAGCACATGCTAGATCAGTGATTCCCAAATTTTGGTCTTCCAGATGTTTTAGACTTCAGCTCCCAGAACTACTGAATGTTGGCCAAGCTGGCTAGGGCTTCTGGGAGCTGAGGTCCAAAACCCCTGGAGGATGAAAGTTTGGGAACCACTATGCTAGATCGATGGAGTCTATGGGTATGAATTTGCAGGACCTGAGAAGAGCAGTGGAGGACAGGAGGTCTTGGAGATGTCTCATCCACAGGGTCACCATGGGTTGGGTTTGACTCAAAGGCAGCTAACAAGAAGATGCTTTGACACATTTTTCTTAAAATGTGTAATAAAAGGTGTAATAGGATAAAGGAGGGAGACAGGCCCAATCTCTATACCAGTGTTGGAGAACTACATGGAAGGTGGGCACCCATTTTCGCACCCATGACCATACTCCGAGGCCATACTGGCATACTAGAGCTCCCTCAGGAAAGTGTGGCAGGGACCTGGGAAACCAAGGAAGGACTCTTGAGTGTTGCGTCTTCCTCCAAGAGTGCTGGATGAGAGGACACTCTGGAGGACAGCAGGGATGGCAAAACATCTCTCCACCATACCTGGTTTATCAGTTTTCTCAGGATATTGAAAGGCTGTCCAGCTTGTTTGGAAACGATTTGGCCTTGATTAACTTGCGTGCCAGGAGGGAGGATGGCATCCCTTAGCCACATCTCTTTCCTTATCTTCATGTTGGCACCGGAAGACCTGAGCAAATGCATCCTCTTCTCTCTCTGTCTTTCTCCCCAAAGGATCCTGGAACATTTATCACATGGTACCCTGATGGGGTTGCCTAGCAACCGCATCCGCTTCCCGTACCGCCAGAGTGATGATGCTCGCGTACTGCTCTTGATGTGTCCAGAGGAAAACACAGACACAGCAAAGGGAAAGGAAGGGAAGGGATGATGGAAGGAAAAAGGCCCATGGCTGACAGAGCCAAAGACTCCCCTGAGCAAGAATAGTGGAATCACAGAGTTGGTAGAGACCACAAGGGCCATCCAGTCCAATCTCCTGCCATGCCTTCCAAAGCTGTTGGGTTGCAGCTCCCATCATCTCCCACTGGCAGGAATTTGATGGGAGAGAGCCAGCATGGTGGTTTGAGCATTGGACTATAACTCTGGAAACCAGGGTTCAATTCTCAGCTCAGCCGTAAACCCCACTCGGTGACCTTGGGCAAGTCACACTCTCTCAGTCATGCCTCTCTCACACTCTCTCAGCCTCAAGGGAAGGCAATGGCACACCTCCTCTGAACAAATCATGCCCATGATGTGGTCATCTTAGGGTCGGGAATGACTTGAAGGCACACAAAAACAACAAATTGTTCTTCCTATTTGGAAGGCATGACATTGGCAAAATGCTGGGGCCCTTTACGCAGCCTCACTCAGCCTTCTTGGCCTGAAGACTCATCTGGGGGCAAATCTGGATAAATTTTCCTTATTTTTTCCTCTCTTTCCCTGTGGGAAGATGCAATGGCATCCATGTTGTGGGAGAGTGAAGGCCCATCAGGGTTCAGCCCGAACTGTCAATGAACTGACCAAAGTGCTGAAGTCTGCCCTCCCCAAAGTAAGTTCAACACCATGGATAGTTTCTTAGAAGAGTAAGGGTTGAGGCTTGATTTTAAAGGAGCTATCCAAAATATTGAAGCAATATATCTCCCCCCAAAGTAAGTTCAGCACCCTAGATACTGATCTTTAAAGTTCAAACTAAAATCTAAAGCAGATTTGCCATCTCTAGTGACATGGGAGCCATGCTGGAGAGCCAGTGTGGCATAGTGGTTTAAGTGTTGGGCTACATCTGGTTTGAGTGTTGGACCAGGGTTCAATTCCCAGCTCATCTATGGTTACTCATTGGGTAACCTTGGGCAAGTCACATGCTCTCAGCCTCAGGGGAAGACAATGGCGAACCTCCTCTGAAGAAAACTTGCCAAGAAAACCCCATGGTAGGGTCACCTTAGGGTTGCAATGAGTTAGAAATGACTTGAAGGTAAACAACAACAACAGTCTTAGAAGTCACACTCTCTCAGCCTCAGGGGAAGGCAATGGCAAACCACCTCTGAAGAAATCTTGCTATGAAAACACCATGGTAGGGTCACCTTAGCATTGCCATAAGTCAGAAATAACTTGAAGGCACATAACAACAACAACAACAACAACAAAACAGGCTTAGAGGTCACACTCTCTCAGCCTCAGGGGAAGGCAATGGCAAACCACCTCTGAAGAAATCTTGCCAAGGAGACCCCTTGGTAGGTTCGCATTAGGGTCTTCATAAGTCAGAAACGACTTGAAGGAACATAACAATCCATATGTGGATTGTTTTAATATTTGTCTATCTTGTCCTTTTAAACTGTATGTATGTCCTTTTAAATTGGTGTGTATTTTAACTTATTTATTTTAAATGGATGTGCCGTGTCTGTTGATTTTTGTTGTTCATCACCTGGATCCATGGGGAGAGTCAGGTAAGAAATAGTAGTAGTAGTAGTAGTTATTATTATTATTATTATTATTATTATTATTATCATCATCATCATCATCACCATCATCATCATCATCATCAACATGCTGGAAAGATGGATGATCTGGAATCCCATGGAGAACGAGGCTGAAATGAAGCAAGACCAGTTGTTCCAAACTGTTCCTTTCCTTCTCCCTGTGAAACAGAAAACCAAAAACTCAATGAGCTTCAAATTATTGCAGCATCTTTTTCCCTCTGATGACTCTCTCTCTGCTTGGCTGGAAGCAGAATCATTAAAGGTCGGGAGCTTCTGGGGAATGGCACAATAGTCGAAATAAATCCACATCCTAACCTCTCAGGGGTACATAACGGATTGGTATGGATGGCCTTGCGGAGCCAAATGGGTTGATCGCTCTCGGAGGCTGATGGAGGCTGAGAATGATCTGCTAACGCTGGATTGCACAACGGAGCACAATCTTGTCCCTTATTTTCAAATCCCATGCCTTTGTCTCTTTGTCAAACAGGAGTTGTGGGTCTGTTGACACAATGAGCTTGGTTGCTCCAGAATACAGATGCGATCTCATTTCTCAAGTATTTCCAAATTCACTTTGACTTTTTTGGCAACTGAGTTCAAAGACCTAGCTGTGTTGGTCTGGAAAATCAGTGTGCAAAAGGGATCTTGTAGCACCTTTGAGACTAAGAGAAAGAAAGAAAGAAAGAAAGAAAGAAAGAAAGAAAGAAAGAAAGAAAGAAAGAAAGAAAGAAAGATGCTGGTGGCATGAGATTTCATAAACTTGAATATATTTCCTCATATGCATAGCACTCTATGTTTGTACTAAGTGAGAAAAGGAATCATCCAAGATGTTTAGCTCTGTCCTAAAATCACAAGTTCAATTGAATGGATAGGCCACTTTTTCAACCTCTCTAGACTATCCTCTTCTCCTTTTTAATTTTGAGACGTGGCCACCGGAATTATACACAAACCCATTTATGGCTGGATGCATTTAAATTGTCCTCTAAAAAAGGACTAGTTGGGGTTGTTGTTTGTTGTTTGTTGTCATTTTTCTTTGCAATGTTTTCTGAGATGGAAACCCATTTTCTACAAGGAAAATAGGTGGGTTTTTTAAAAACCAAAACCACCATTTTATTTGCAGAATAATTCCTGTGCAATAGTTTGAGACGCTGACTATGAAAGAGGGAATGTACAAAATTCTCACTGATCCAATGTTCTTCCCAATAGCATTTCCTAATTGTCAAGAAACCTGTTATTTGACCTGGGAATGAATAATTGTGAACAATCTCTCCATCTGCTTCTGCCACTTCTTTTCTAAAAGCCATGACCTGAAAGCAAATCTCAAGAGCTAATTAACTTCTCTGCTGTTTTAATTTGGAGGGGAAATCAGACCCTTGAATCATATCTTACTTTTATGAAACTGGCTGCTTTATTCTATGGGAAGAATCAGTTGTGCATTTGAGTATTATTTTTAAAGGCAAGAGGGAGCTCTTAGGAAATCCTTATTAACACCAAGCAAAAATATAAAATAAAAACCATCTTCTTTAGTGGGGTCAGAATGCACCTTGAGCAACTGGCCTTTTTCGAAGCAAAATCCAAATTTTGCAAGCTACAAAAGAAAGCACTTGTAAGCAAAGAGGATGAAAAGGAATTGCAACTGAGAAGAAGATGCTTAACCCCCCATCCCAAAAAAAAACCAGAGAAAAAGGGTCTTTGGGAATTAACGATGCTGTTGACTTTGCTGTTGTTAATACGATTATTATGATTATCATCCACCGCCTCGGCCAGTTCCTTCGTCCCATAGAACAAGCAAATTCCACGCTGCTCTTTGCTTTTCACCAGAGATAAGGCAAACAGGAGGCACAAAAGACCAGCAAAGCACAAGAGCCAAGGAAAAGATTTCAAAGTTTTGCATCCCCCAAAACAGCCACTGGGATGCAAATAGGGAAGAAGTTGTTGTTGTTGCTGCTGTTGTTAACTGCCCTGGAGTCCATCTTGACCCCTGATGACCCTCTGGATGAGACCCCTCCAAGAAGACCTTCTGTCCTCCCCTGCTCTGCTTAAATCCTGCAACCCATTAATTAATATCCATGGGGACCTCCTTAATAGAAAACCTATCATTGGTTTTTTTTTGGCAAGGTTTCCCCAGAGGGTGTTTGCCCTTGCCTGCTTCCCCTGAGGCTGAGAGCGTGTGACTTGCCCAAGGTCACCCAGTGGGTTTCTGTGGCTGAGCAGGAAATCGAACCCTGATCTCCAGAATCATAATCCACCACTCAAACCACTACACCACACTCTCTCTTAAAGCTACTCCTTCTTTTGTTGTTGTTGTTGTTGTTGTTAACTACCCTCAAGTTGATCTCAACCCATGGCTTCCCTATGGATGAGACCTCTCCAAGAAGACCCTCTGTCCTCCGCTGTTCTGCTTAATTCCTGCAAGCCCTTAATACAAATGGTGACCTCCTTAATAATAGAGTCCCTCCATCTGTCCTGTGGTCGTCTTCTCTTCTTAATTCCTTCCACTTTTCCCAACTTTATTGTCTTTTCCAAAGAATCCTCTCTTCTCATGATGTGTCCAAAGTACAACAGCCTCAGTTTAGTAATCTTGCCTTCTTCCAGGGATGTTTCTCGCTTGATCTGCTCTAGGACCCACTTGTTTGTCCTTTTGGCTGTCCATGGGATCCTCAGCATGCTTCTCCAGCCCCACATTCTCTCAAAGGCATTGGTTTTCCTCCTATCCTCTTTCTTGACTGTCCAGCTCTCACATCCATCCATGGGAATAATAGGGAATACGATGGCTTGGATGATTCTGACTTTTGCGCTGAGTTGTAGATCTTTGCATTTTAGGATCTTTTCTAGTTCTTTCATAGCCACCTTCTCCATTCTTAGCTTTCTTCTGATTTCCTGACTGCAGTCCCCATTTCTATCCATGTTTGATCCCAAGTATGGGAACTCTTTGACTATTTTTATTTCCTCATTGTCTAGGTTGAACTTGTGAAGGTCCTCGGATGGGTAGGAAAGCAAACAAACAACGACGGGAGGAATAATACGGGAAGACAAGCAGCTACTGGGCAGCAGCAGTGGTGCTGGGTGTCATTGATAGGAGTGAATTCTTGGGACCCCATAGCTAACGTTGGTTGGCACTTTGCACAGGGAGACATAGTTGGCCCTCCTTGTGTAACCCCATCTCCTAGTAAATCCTAGGATGAGACACGCCAAGTGAAACACAGGCAGGATCAGAGCATTGCCAGAAAGGGAAGGAGGGGGAGATAAAGGGGTATGACATTTGCAAGATTAGCCAAGGGCATAAGAAAGATGGCAAGACAAATTGCAGACACCCTTAGAAAGGGAAGAAGATGAGGCCCTTTTTCTCTCCCCCCGGGGGCTAAATGTGAGGAATTGCAAAGGCACAAGAGGGATGAAAGGATGCTGTCTGTGATTTCCAGTTAGCCCTGGGAGCTGGGAGCCTCCGACATCTCCCTGATGTAGTTTGCTCTTTTGCAAAAGATTTGCAGACTCCGTCAGATTAACATTTGGCAGCCATTCTTTTCTCTAAACACATACACACACACACACACACACACACACACACACACACACACACACACACATTTATTGTTGCTGTTGTTGTCTGCTTTTTCAAGTTGTTTCCAACTTAGGGAGCCCCGAAGGCAAACCCGCACGACTTGGAAGTAGGAATAGACCCAAATTAAAATAGGTTAAAGTTGTTTGGGCTGCGGATAGGTTTTTAGCGGCTCACTTTCCAAGTGAAGGTATAATGAAACGATTAAGCTATTTTGCAAAGAAACCTCACGATTAAAAAAACAAGGGGGTAAATTTCAATTAATATCAATTACTAATTACCCTAATTACACTTAATAATTAAGAAATTTACTTATTATGAAATCACATTAATTTTTTTAAAATAAAAAATACTTTGCTAAGTGGACCAAGTTTTAAAATACTTTAAAGGTTTTCTTTGGGTTTTGAGAGACAGCCCAGCCATGGACCTTGGGCAAGTCACACTCTCTCAGCCTCAGAGGAAGGCCATGGCAACCCCCCTCTGAAGAAAGTTGCCAAGAAAACCCCAGGACAGATTTGCCTTGTGCATTGTGTGCCTTCAAGTAGTTTGCAGAGTTTTCCTGGCAAGTTTTTTTCAGCGGGGGTTTGCAATAGCCATCCTCTGAGGCTGAGAGAGTGTGATTTGAATGGCTGCATGGGGATTCGAACCCTGGTCTGCAGAGTTGAAGGCTGAGACACAGCACTGGATCAATAGATCGCTGATAGCTCCATAGATGAAGTACTTTTCTATTTCTCTTTCTGGCTGCATCTACACTGCAGAATTGATGCAATTTGACACCACTGGTTCAATGATATGGATTTCTGGAATTTGTCATTTTGGATATTTAGCCTTCTCTGTCACAACAAACTGCAAATCCCAGGATTCCATAGGGAGGAGTCATGGCAGATATAGCGGTGCCAAACTGCATTAATTCTGCAGTGTGTCAGCAGCCTGCCTCTCTTTATTTATCTCTGATGGGAAAGGTGATACTTTTTTGTATGCATTTTTTATATGCATTTTTAGAGGTCTTTTAAAATGCATTCAGCTGCAAATGGGGTTATGTAAAATTCTGGTGGCTACGTCTCAAAATTAAAAAGAACAAGAGGATATCCTAGAGGTAGAAAAGGTGGAGAGCCAACATGACATCGTGGTTTCAGTGTTGGAAACCAGAGTTCAAATCCCAGCTTATCCATGGAAACTGCTGGGTGACCTTGGGCAAGTCACATACTCTCAACCTCACGGGAAGGCAATGGCAAACTCCCTCTGAACAAATCTTGTCAAGAAAACCCTGTGATAGGGTTGTCATAAGTTGGAAAGGTCCTGAAAACACACACAACACACACAAACACAACAGAAAAGGTGCAGAAATGAGCCATGAGAACGACCAAGGAGTTAGCAGAGATGGCTTCCATGGCAGTAGAGCCATTCTGAATCCGCTCCCGGCTTTAGTCCAAAGTGTAAAAGTACTGTCATGATGGCTATATATTACTTGCAGCATCAGAGGCTGTATCGCTCTATCACAGCTTGGAAAAGTTACTTTTGTGGCCTCCAGCTTCCAGAACCACTTGTTATTTATTAATGCTCAGACCAAAGGCCATTCGCATACAAAGTGTTAACCTACAATACAACGTTCAAGAGCAGCATTATAAAAATACGACATAAAATAAATAGCGTAGCCATCTTGCATATATAGAATGTAAAAGTCAGTTTGGTTAAAACACATAAAAGTATAAACAATGATGCTACAATTAAATGAGGGCATCCCCAGAGCAATATCGGCAATATATCTTGCCCGGATTTTCATTGCTGCCAGTGCAAAAAGAGAAACCTTGCAAGTTGCCATAGAATCAATATCAGACAGGGAATTTTTAAAAAAAATTCTTTTCTGAAACAGTATTAGAATCTAAATAAGGCAGACTAGATCCCAGAGATTTGGCTCTGGGTTCAGAATATAATGAACAAGAAAACAAATACTCAAGCAGGTCTCTAATCCGACGGATGGATTGCTTGTCAATTTTCCGCATGCATCTGTGGTCTCCTTTCCTTGAAACCTCTCTCCTTCTTTTCCAAAGGATGATTGCTTGCAGCTTCTTCTGTGTATCTGGCACCATCCCTTGCTAATTCCCTTTTTTTCCAAAAATCCTTAATGAACTCCTGTCGTGTTTGGGCTAAAGTTGCCTTATGAGGCCTTCAATAGTCCCCAACTGATTTTCATAAGCCCTTCTGCCTCAACATGATTAATCTTCCATTAAAAGTTGCATTTGGGGTGATAAACCTGCTTATTCCTCTCTCTCCCCCCTCCATCTTCGAATTTAACACCGAGCGCATATTTTGATCAGACTAACCTTGATCGTCCCGCCATTAATATGAATGAGCTGGATTAGCATAAGAAAATTTGCCGTTTCTACAAGCTCGGAAACTTTAGCACCTCTGCCATGGTGTTACCTCTTAGCCTGGACTTGGTCATCCTTGAAATGCTTCTTAAGCAAGAGTCAAAAAGTGGCTAGAAAGTCCAAAATAACAGGGCAGCTTTTAAAACTTTTTAAATCTTTCACGAAAGCTCGAAAGCCAGGTGCATCAAGAAATAAAGCAGAAATAAAGCAGTTTGACGTGACTTTAACTTCCGTGGCTCAATGGTATGGAGTTCTGGGATTTGTAGTTTGTTGGGGCACCAGAGCTCCCTGACACAGAAGGCTAGATATCTCACAAAACTACAGATTCTAGACTTCCATAGCATTTATGAATAGAATGAATAGACATGGGTGCCAGAAAAATGTGTGGAAGAGGGCTATATAATGTGTTTTCCGGGCTCTGAAGACCCTCCAGACTATATTGAAGAGGCATTTCATGTCATGGCCAATGCTCAGCATCGCGGCAGGGGTGTGGGTCTCACCTTGAATCAATAAGCTGCAATTTCACAAGGGCTGCATCATCTCGGCTTTCCAGGAGACTTTTTTATGAGAATGAATGGACGTGGGTGTCAACTGGTGTTGGAAGATGAAGCGACATGAAAATCTCTAAGCAATAGGATAAAGGGAAGATGCAGACACGAAAGCATCATCTGTAGACATCTTAGCATGAAAGTGACTGGAAACAAGAGAAAGAGAGAGAGTGAGAAAGAGAGAGAAAGAAAGATGTTTGGTGGTTGTAAGCCCAGCAGGGAAGGAAACACGCTTCTGCGAAGGATGGAGTCATCAATTAAAGGAGGCATTTGCAGACTGGGAGAACTGGGCTCCATTTGTTGTTTTCTAAGCAGCTGCTGCAAAAATAGAAGGAGGCCATGGCGGTAGCCCAGTTGAACCTATCGCTACAACTTGGCTAAAACCAAAAGACATAGCCATGGAATATCGATATGCCAAGGGATCTTGCAGCACCTTTGAAACTAACTATGCAGAAGAAGTTGTAGAAGTTTCCATAGACCTGGTCCACTTCCTCAGGTGCATGGAGTGAACTGGCGCCCAGGAAGGACCTTTGTAACCAGACTGTATGAATAGCCACGGAAATGCAAAACCTGTGGTTATGGTGATGAGGAGACAAGTTCAGTTTTAACAATGGCTGTTGAGGGACCAAGGCAGAAGAAAAGAGGCCAAGGTGGGTGGGTGGCCATATGAATGGTGGAGGGAGTTTTGGAGTATAGCGTGTACAGACTGGGTACCAAAAGTTCTAGTTCCCACCTTAGGAAGGGCAATGGGTGAACACCATCCAAGAAAATGCATCAGCAACAGAGGCACAGCTCT